CTTCCCGACCTTTTCATTTCTCCCTCCTCATCCTCTTGCTCCCTCCCTCCGTTTCTTCCCTCTATTCCTCCCCTTCCTTCTTTTACTTCTCATCTTTTCCTCCTGCTCCTATTCCTCCTCCACACACCTCTCTGCTCCCATTCCCCCTCTCCATCCTCCTCCTCTTCCTCTTCTTCTTCTTCTGCTTCTTCCTCCTCCTCCTCTTCTGCTTCTTCTCCTCCTCCTCTTCTCTGCTTCTTTCTCTCCTCTTCTTCTGCTCCTCCCTCCTCCTTATCTTCGCCCCCTTTCCCTACCCCTTTCCCTCCTCCCTCTCTTCTTCCCCTCTCCCTTCCCCTCCTCCTTCCCCCACTCCTCCATCTCCACCTCTTATTCCCATCCCCTTTCTCCTTCTCCTCCATCTCCTCCTTCTCATCACATCCCTTTCCCTCCCTCCCCTCCTCCTTTTCCCCTCTCCCTCTCCATCTCCTCCTCCTACTCCTCTTTCTCCTCCTCCTCCTCTCCCCTTCTTCTATCCCCTTCCCTCCCTTCCCCCTCTACCTCTCTCTCCTCCCCTCCTCCTCCTTTTTCATCTCTCCCTCCTGCTCTTTCCCTTGCCCCCTCCCCCTCCTCCTCCTTCTTTTCCATCTCTTCCTCCTCCCCCCCCACCTCTCCCTACCCTACGAACATAACACCTTAGGTACCCCCCCTGCCCTCCGTGACCCCTATCACACTCCCTAACAACCCTCCTTCACAGACCAGCAGACGAAACAGGAAAGCTCCTTTTTTTTCTCTCTCTCTCTTTTCCTGTTCCTCCTTCCTCCCTTCCCCCTCTATCCTGCCATCTGTTGGCCCTGTTGTCGCTTACTGTTCCCTGTTTTTCTTCAAGGGACAATGAGACCCTCGAACTGGAGCCGCTAACGGCAGAACACCGTGCAAGCCTGGAGGACGAAGCGCCCGTCAAGCGTATACTGAAGTGAGTAGTGAGAGAGGTAGAGGGGCTGAGTAGAGAGGGAAGCTTGGTGTAAGCTTTTGCGAGGTCATAGAAGCTTTGTAGATTAACTGATAGGGAGTAAGTAGAGTGGGAGGGAAAAGGGATAAAGTAAGGAGAGTTGTGGGTTCCAAGAAGGTAAGATGGAGGAGTAGAAGACGGGGAAACCGATAGTAAGATTCGGTAGTTCGAAAGTTGGACGTCTGTAGTAAAGTATGTTGTAGGATAGTCTACAGTAGGGTTGGCTGAAAGGCATCTCGCCTTCGAAAGGGTGTTGAAGTCCTTGTAGGGAGCGGTAGCAAGGTGGAGAGGTAGTCGAAGCCGAGTTGCAGGGACTCGACAGAGGCGGAGAGAGTTTCAGGTTCTTTTGTGTGTTGTTGTTTCGTGTGCGTGTTCCCGCATTCTGTTCGTACATGTGTAAGAGTATGTGCGTGCGTATGTTTTATCGGATAGCGTCCTTAAATGTGTGTGTTTTATTCATACATGGCTGCGTAGGTCTCGAAAGAGTGTTTTGAGTAAGCCGATGCATCAGTGAGAAAAACGGTGGGTGAATGAGTAAATGAAAGTGACCACGTATGTTTATGTCTATGTGATCATGAAGACGAATGTTTGGTCATTTGTGTTTGCTTTCGTGCATATGCATTTGAGAGTGTGCATCCGAATCCAAGTGCTTTAGGAGAAAACACAAATAGCAACGGGTAAGTATAATGCAAAGTTCCTCCAACCTGAATCTGCCTCTCACTGTGCCTCCATTTCCCCCATCGCCTACGATCTGGTATATAGGCTCCGCCTTCTTTTTATCACGGAGTCTGTCTTGGATTCAGGAATTTCTCTATTTACCATTGTCTCTCTATACTTTTTAAGACTCGTACAGACTGACAACAGAACAACACGCTCCTTGCAGTTCTTTTATAACACCCACAGTGCTCTTACTTGTGGCGGCTTCTAGGGTGGATGGGTGTGGAAAGAGAGGAATTATGTCACTTTTGTTCAAATGATCATGATGTTCTCGCAGGAAATCTTTGTTGCAATCCTCTGAGCAATGATCAGTGCACCAGCTGCAACAGAGGTTATCACATGATGAGATTTTACTCATGATACTTTATTAATGGAAGTCTGTGATTTGTTTTCTTTGTATATAAAGATCATGGTAATAGATAAGATAAGTGATAATTCAAATTTTGCTGACGATGGATGGAATAATGGTCTACATCTGTACGTTTGTTAAAGAATGAAGTGTTTCTTCACCACAAGAACACCTGAGATTAGCCTTCTGCAACATCCATCCCATGGTCATGCAACATTTGAAAGGTTTATATATATTTTTTTATTTGACAGCTGCTTCTTTACTCCAATATCCTTTGCGATAGTGGTTGGTATGGCCTAACTCTCAGTAGTTGCATTATATCCTGCTAACAGCTTATTTGAATGAGTAATTGTATCATACAGACTTCATATCATCATTTAGTATCAGATACATAAGATTCATCATTGCATTCCTAACATTCAGCATAGATGAAGTTAATATATATT